GTTTTACACACATCTGAATGTAGTGAAGCAAAATAAAAGTTTATAAGTGCATGTATATTTCAGCAAAAGTCTGATTCCAGCTGCCATTTTAATAACATGTTGCAGTTATTATAACAAATCACATAAATCATTTTCCAATTTTTATTTGCATTAAGACARTAAATTAATTTTATTGTGTGAAAATAAAAAAAAATACATTTCTTAAAACTAGAAGCACTCGGAGAGTGCAAACCTCCACCAAGTCCAATTTCCCCCATCCTGTAATAGAGTAAATGCAAAAAAAGCAGAGATGGAAACACATTTGCCAAATAAGTTCTGACTWAGCKAACATTTAAGCAGGCAGTATGCACGGAATCTCTTCCCGGTGAAGTCCAATGTGGCCAAAAAAAAGTCAGAGTCACCTGACGTTATTCGTCATCAAACTGGTGTCAGATTAAGCTCSTAAGTTTTCATCAGTCACATTTCACCATGTAAGACATCTGTTTTATCCCCTTGTGTTTGTAATGGTTTGAATCTCTTTATAAAGGGCTTCCTGGTACAGTCGGCTCATGAAGCGAGTGGGCCAGCTTGTAAATCAGCTTGTAAAATGTGCTTTAGCTTGCCTCTGTTACAATTATAATCTTGTACATATTCCATGTCAAACCAACCAACCAACAAACAAACAAACAAACAAGCAAACAAACAACCTCTGAGTCTGAAGTGCACCACACCTGAGTGCGGAGACGGGTGCCTGCGCACCAGCGGGTTCGCCTCTAGAGTCCGGCTGCCATCGGCGACCGCGCCCGCGCGCCAACCACGGCCCGAGACTTGAACTATTGGTGACAAGACCGAGCGGAAGGGTGGATGTGACGTTGTCAGTGCCCATCACGGGGCTCGTAGCTTCCAAAATGCTGAAATCATTCCGTTGTCCTCCCGTCTGCAAAGGCCAGAAGCGATCAGTTTACCACCTTATGTCATTGTGGTGTGTTTGAGGAAATGGGACAAATAGATTTCATGGTGCAGTCACGCACTTCCTGGTCACAAAGCGTTCTGTAAATGCGCACCGAATGCATACAAATGTGCACATTGTGGCAAAAATCTTTCAACATTAAATCTGGTTTTATTTGGAAGTAAATAAAAAAAATACAACGTTTGAAGTCCGCTCTGTCCAATCCAGTTCAAATGAACACTGAAAGCTGTCACTGTTTTTTACAGAAGCCCTGTGAAAGCAGTGATGCTTTCACAGGGCTTTACCCTGTGAAGCTTTCGACCTCAGAAAGTTGAAAGAAAAGAAAATTCCTGTATCCGTATCATGATCCGGAACATCACCAAAATTTAAAGGTGTGTTCCTTGGGCCAGTACCCACATGTGGAAAAAATGTCATGACAATCTATCCACAAGTTTTTGAGTAATGTTGTCCACAGACAGAACGGCAGAACTACAGACAGACAGACAGACAGACAGACAGACAGACAGACAGACAGACAGACAGACAGACAGACAGACAGACAGACAGACAGACNCAGACAGACAGACAGACAGACAGACAGACAGACAGACAGACAGACAGACAGACAGACAGACAGACAGACAGACAGACGCAACCGAAAACATTACCTCCTTGGTGGAGGTAAAAATACATGGCAGTTATCTGTGTAAAGGCTTGCTTCAGTTAATAAGAATGTGTCTCTTTCTTCCACTGGTTCCCCTCTACCAGTTTGTGATAATAGTTCTGTCAGCTGGAGCTCTGGGTTTGACTAGTTACCTCGACCTTTTCGGATAACCCAGATCAGTAGCTGATTGAGATTTGTTTGCTTTTCACCTTTGTGTCCTTCTTGATCCTGACCTCTTTTTTTTCCCGCTTTAAATTCTGCTGCTGTGTCTGAGCGAGGAAGCCACCGCAACAATGCGGAGCTACACATACACAGATAACATATACTTTTTATCCAAATATATATGTATTTTTTCAACAATTCTTAAACATTTCTATTTGGCAGGGAAAGTACAGTTGAGCACAGTTGAGCATGACAGTGAACCGAAACATGCATTCAAGCGTTCAATATTTTGGATGTTTTACATCTAAACACAGAATCTGACACATCATAAATGTGATTTATTATGTTGTCACACAAATCCTTTTGCACGTTTTAGTGTTAATTGAAGCTTGCCAGACATGTTACTACCAACTTCTAATAACTTGTGTTGGTTTGAAACTGAGAATTAATTAAAGTGTTCTTTCATGTTGGTCATAAATCCACTTACAACTTCTACTGTCAGCATTCATCCTAACTTCTCTACACTGCATGCTTCTGCATGAAGGATGTGAAGTTAGAGGCTGGCWTTTAAGATGTTTTGCCCTTTTATTTAATTTTATTTTTTTACAAACTGTCTTATTAACACTTATCCTGCATTATATCTGACAGCGTGAATGCAGCCCAGATTTCCAGTGGACGGTGGTGCATAGGGTTCCAGCTCAGTCATGCAGAACATATAGATCCTAGCGCAGGGAGCCACTGTGTTCTGTCAAGCTGAGAAGACCTGGCAGAACATTTTAGACTTGCTCCTCTTATTTTGCAGAGACAGTCGTGAATTTAGGTTTCAGATTCACTGCAGCGCAGCAGAGACATATCAGAGGAAATGCATTTTTGAAGTTGTTTTTTAATGTTAAGATTCTATTCATCTCTGATTATCGCTTCTCATAGAGTTTACATATTGCAAAATAATAGGGGAATTAGATCAATTTGTTTCAATGATGCATCAGTCATTAATATTGAATTGAATTGAATACACCTTT